TATGTCATTGTGGATATACGATAACCATAATTACTAACGCATGAGCATCAGAATGACATATTATTGATATCGTGATATATCGTCTTCAGAGTTTCAGCTTACAATTCAGAACATACTTCAGAGGAAATATTGATAATAAAACATGCCTTGACATTTTCGAAATCAACAAATACTAATTTCATATAGAAAGAAGACTGAGATCTGATAATAATAAAGGTTAAACTTTTGTGTGAACTAAAGGTTATTCCTTCTATGAATCCGACGCAATGATGACCATGCCATGAAATAATCTTACAAGAGAGTCCTTGGAGATTGAATCATTAAAACCACAAAGGGTTTCCTGACAAATTTACCTTTGAAATGTTAAAGAGAATGATAATTTTGACAAAAGCATCCAAACATGATTTTGTTTCCATCAAATCAACGGATTTTTCAAACATTTTGATTTGATATCTGAAAAGAGACGATGTTTGGAAATGAGCCAATCAAAATCAAAGACTAACCCAATAACCTGAGGTGAACTTAATGAGGATCCTTGAGAGAAAGATTTGATTCGATAGTGTTAGACAAGATTATGAAAATTAGATTTCCCTACCTCTCTTTAAATGAGAACTATGCGCCAAAAATGTATCCATACAAAATAAGGAGATGAGGTAAAATGGACAAAGATTAAACTAATCATAAAGACGAAACGACAATGATGCGAAAAATAACAGGTTTTTGTTCATCAAACATACAAACGTACACCCATACTGTACAGAAAACTATAAAAGGCATTGCTTTGACAAGAGTTTGAATTACACTATTGGCACAGAACAATGTCTCCCTTGAATACATTTTGCTAGTATTATGCAAATGATGAAATTACAAGGATACACATTTCACATGTAAACTTATTAAATATCAATGAACTATAACTGAAGGGATCAGACCATATAATCTCCGTGGAAATGAGATATGCCAATCCTTATACAACCACATACCAAATATAATTGACATGCCACTAGTGGTTTCCCTTTAATAAACTTAATCGGAAATTTAAACGAATTGTTCACACTGCAGATTCCAACAAAGACAACGCGAACGCCATTAGAAACTGTATATTTTAGTCACGCATCATCAACTTTATCATGGCGAATTAAAACCAACCACCTGATTCATACAACTACAATGAACTAAAACATATACGAAAGTCAAAAACCAACAACAACCATTTCATGTCAGAAATCGAATAAAAAGTAAAATCACAAAAATACTGAACTCCGAGGAAAATTCAAAACGGAAAGTCCCTAATCAAATGGCAAAATCAAATGATAAAACACATTAAACGAATGGACAACAACTGTCATATTCCTGACTTGGTACAGCCATTTTCAAATGTAGAAAATGGTGGATTGAACCTGGTTTTATAGCGCTAAACCTCTCACTTGTATGACAGTCGCATCAAATTCCATTATATTTACAACGATGCATGAACAAAACAGACATAATAAAAACATTGTTGTAATTGATAGTAAGTCTGACAAACAGACCTCCAACAAAATTTTGGTAGCTGATTGTACATAGAAACGTCATGCCGTACAAGTAACCACTTTCGCGATAAAGTAAAAATCAAGTAAAAAATAAATTCAAGGATAAACAAAATGAAACAAAAAATACGGTAAAAACCTCTTGTGTCCGAATCGTACCTTTAGAACCACCTTGAACAAGAAATGCCCAAAGCAGAAAGGTAAAAACTCGATAGCTGCCTGCATTAATACCGAGTCCCGTCAAGCTTCATACCACCAGAAGGATCACACTAGTAATGGCAAAAAGACAAATAAAGGGAAAACTGTAAATTGAAAAATTTAAAAGTAAATAATGAATCATTCGACTTCAGCAACTTTAATAGTTATCTCATCTTGTATTATTTCTAAAGTATACACTGAATATTTATCAATATGTATTAGATCTTGATACTTTCCGATGAACTTGTATCTTTAACAAAACATCTTGCTCATTCATTTGTTGCTTGACATCTGCAGCTGCAAATTCTTGAATATTGTATGAGTTAAGAAGTATATACTCCATACGTTGGTGAATTAGGTATATTGCTGCTGAGGGGATCGTTTGTCCGAGATTCTAGTACAGAGATGACCACTGTAATCATATTTTAGGTATATCAATTGCTTTCTATAGTAATGCCAACAACCTGATTGACAATTCTACTTTGAAATTCATGAAACATATTGTCAATTAGAAACTCTAGCATACTGATCATTTGTTCTTCGGTGTAGTATATTTTATTTTGACAAATTTTTAACAAAATATGCCGAACTATATTTCAAAGCAATAAATGTGTAGCATATGGTACTACTTTTATATATAGCATCGTAGATTTTTGTCTTTTAGACGTTGTTTATTTCTATTTTTCATGTGGTATAGTGGTGTAAAGGGTGACATAATCGACTTTCTTGATAAAATTTATTTCACAGAATGACCGAGATTTATAATTTTCCAGTAGTCCACATATGGAAAACAGTATCCCAGTTTTTCTGTAATCCTCTTTAACTGCGGATAAATTTCTGTCAATTTAAGAGATAAGTCCTAAGTAAATCATGCTGTATGGGCTTTGCTCATTGTTGAAGGCCGTACGGTGAACTAAAGTTGTTAATTTCTGTGTCATTTGGTCTCTTGTGAAGATTGTCTCATTGGCAATCATACCACATCTTTTTTATATGATGAGCCGGCAATGAACCTTTGTTTATACATATTGTGTTAAGTTTAGGTATTCAATGCAAACAAGGTAAGTCCTCAGATTTCTTGTTAATTCAAATATTGTGACGGACTTACGGCTTGCCAATATGTCATCCTTTCCAAAAGTTACGTTTTTGTACATAGGAGTACCCTTGTATTTATTTATTCCTAATTTTTTTTAGTAACAGGATTTACAGACAAATACAATATCGTTGACGCTTTGTTTGCAGGAACACCAATATATTTATTGTGAAGATATGTCATTGATTTCACAACTGTTTTGTCTCTGAACATGCTGAAAACAGACATTGGTTGAACATTCACACAGTGTTTCAACTTGTGGATACTATTTTTTATCAAAAGCTATATTACAGTAGCGAAACCGGATGCGTCAACAGGGTAAATGTCTCATGATATGCCATGAGAACCCACACTCAGTCAAATTGTCACAAGCTGTAAAATTACAGCAGATGAAAGATTATACTGGTATCTAAATATCTAAGACCGTGAAAACATGCCACTTGTAAGTTTTTGGCGAAATCTTTACTTTGCCTTGTCGCCTTAGTGCAATACTTTTTTACCAATATTCTTGTTCCTTTTTTTCTTATACATTCAGTAAAGTGATTTATGAAAAAGAGTTTGATGATCCAATCACCAGTCAGTCACCAATAGAATCCTGACAAAATTGCCTTTCCCACTTGAAGTTTCTGAATCATTCAAATCATCTGGAAATTTGTTATATTGCCTACTACTTCTTAGTTTATACTTCATGAATAAAAGGCGATTTTGACATGCTTTAATGAGATATCTTGAAGACTAGACAAAGCACGAAAGATTTGTATATGGTTATTCTAGCTTTCTGCATTACTTGGAAAGATGTAGCATAAAAATAGTTTGTTATCATGGACCTTCTTAATTGAAATAAACCATCGAGTGCTTATTAGGTTAAATATATACAACTACTACAGCAATACACATACAGATGCATGCTTGCCTAGATATAATATATGTGGATGTTACCTAATCCGTTTAAATACTCGCGTAATGATCATTACATGTACAATGTCGATGTGTTTTTTCAAAGTTGTCATTAATGAAAATGCATGATGCGGATGTTCTAAATTAAAAAAATCTACGTTATCCAAAATTAGATTAAATACACTTGAGATGGATAACGAATGATGGATATTATCAGTACAATGATCAGATATGTACATATAAGTGTCCGTTTATTTACTCCGGAATAAAGATATAATAGTAAAAGTTGGCAACTATAAAAATGTGTATCATTATTTGTTGTTACATGTAAAATCGGGCAATAACTTCGAAAATACCGCTATGACATAAGATATGTTATGTAAATTTGATCATATACGTAATATCTTCCACAGATAAAAAAAAAGTCAAAGTTGATCAAAATAAATTTCTGAATGAAATGTTGAATTTAGGTACCTGAATAAAAATTGTGATTCTTCTTACAAAAATTTCCTTTTCATGGATTATGCAGCTATTTTATTACAGTTGGTTTTGTAAATTGGTGAAAATTACACAAATCGCAGCAATTTAACTTTCACTCTAGAGGAACTGAATCATTTAAATTTTCCAGGAGTTTGTCATAGTGCTAATTTCGTTTTCCTTATTATATATGAATAGAAAGGCGATATTGGGAATGTGTTAATCCGAAAGTTTCAACAACAAAACACAACACATTCTGTTAACATTTGTCTATCATAGGTTTACCGTAGAACAAAGTTCTTACCGTGTGATTGAGTACTTCTTTAGATTATAACTATTACAATTATATCGTGTATATTATGTATATAGTTAGATATATTACAACTATATAGTTATGTAATAATGTGTGTTTGCTTAGATGTATATACATGTTGCTAACCTCAATATCATGTTTATCAAGCTGTACTATTCGTATAGTGTGTGAAAACATGTACATTCGATGTGATTTCTCTAAGAGGTAATTAATAAAAATGCAAGTACTTGAAATTACAAGATGATTGCCTTAGAGAACTCAAATTGAAATACATCCCCATAAAATTAGATATCATAATACATGTACTTAGTAGACCAAAATCAGTAAAACTGACCAAATGCAGTATAGCTTGTACAACTAAAATATTTTGATTACAATAAAAATAAATATTTCTGAATGTTGTTAATTGTTGATTCGAAAAGTAAGTTTGAAAATTACCTCCACCTCACATAAGATATATAGTATAAATATGATCACATGACTAATAACCTTCCTGGTTTATTTATGGTGTTGTTGAACACGCATCAGAATATTAGAGGTATGTAATGCTTTTAATCGGCAATCTCACGTTAGAATCTCTGGCACGACAATTTTTTTATATTTCTCTATTCCTTAAACATACTAGTTTTCATCGAAAACGTCATATTTTCCGGTATTACGTTTAAGAAGTTAATTTTGAAACCATATATTTTTGCAAAACATTTATGGAAGTCTTTAGTAAACAAATATTGTCCAATTTATGCAGATGTAGGTTAGTTTATCCTATTAAAACATGTACTATAAAACTTTATTATATACTTAGTAGTAAATACAATGTCAATCGTTCTGTATCAGCCATCCATGACGATATCGATATCACATTCAGTTGCAAAGTCTTTATCACACCCTTAGTTTGTATAACGTCACGTAATCGACATCACTGTGAATCACCATTGCAAAGGCTTTATCAAATCCATAAAATTGAGAATGAAAACGGGGAACGTGTCAAAGGAACAACAACCCGACTAAAGAGCAGAAAACAGCCGAATGCCACCAACCGGTCTTCAACACAGTGAGAAAATCCCGCATCCGGAGGAGGGTTCCAGCTGGCCCCCAAACAAAAATATGCACTAGTTCAGTGAAAATGGACGTCATACTTAACTCCAAAATATATAAATGAACTAAAATTAAAAAAGATACAAGACTAACAAAGGCCAGAGGCTCCTGACTTGGAACAGGCGAGAAAATGCGGCGGGGTTAAACATGTTTTGTGAGATCTCAACCCTCCCCCTATACCTTTAGCCAATGTAGAAAAAACAAACACACAGCAATACGTACAGTAAAAATCAGTTTAAAAGAAGTCCAAGTCCGATGTCAGAATAGGTAACAAAAGAAGCTAAGCAAAATGACAATGCTACATAAATTAACAAAGGACTACTAGCATTTACTGACATGCCAGCTCAGATCTCAATTAAACTGATTGAAAGATTATGTCTTCATCATATGAAAAGCAAGCACAATCCCTTGCGTTAGGGGTTCAGTATCATACCATTATAAAATATATGAGAAGAACATAACGTCATGTCACATGAAAAAAAACATCTACTTGAGGTATATAACTAAGAAATAACAGTACTGTAGTTGAAGAGTACTATACTTGACCGTCTCAAATTTCCGTTTTACTGTCTCCGCTATGCGTCGCCAGTAAAACTGAATTTGCGGACATCAAATCGCCAATTGACGGTGGCAACTCTTCAACTACAGTACTGTTGTTCCGATTCTAATGCATTACAAAAAGATATAATACGTTAGAGCTTGAAAAAATGTATAAATTTGAAATAAAATAAAATTCCGCGAAACTTCATATTAGATGATTTTGGCGCTTAAACGTCATGGCTAAACATGGATAAACTAAAGGTTATTACGTTACCTCTACGATTTAAATTTGGATAAACTCACATCAAAACGCCGATTTTGAGGTAGGTGTTGTTTATTTTATTAAAATCAATCGGGTCCAGGACCAATCTAGTATATCTTATTATAATCCTTCGTAATTAATTCCATTTTTTATATGCATACATTTAGATTAATTTAGAGCTGGTATACTCAGTGTATGATAAATATTTCTTGTTGTGAAATACATTTTGCAGCATTTATTTCCATATTTTTGAAGAAATTCACACTTGTATCCTTGTAGTATAATTATTGTCTGCGTGTTTCTAGAATACAAGTCCAGATCTGGTCTGTGTTTCTAATACTAAAAGAGGTGTTTCGGTTATGGTCATGTAGACCTAGGCCTATCCTCATCAGGTATCCCTAGCCTATATGTTTCCTTTCTTGTAATATTTAGAAGTGTTCGAATTTGATTTCACTTATGGGGATACGACCTCTGTGTATACGTTCGTTTCTTATTTTTCTTCTTTCTGTTTTTGGGTATTTTTTTCTTTTGTTTTAATCTCTTCTATTAGTTTATTGTGCCTGATATTTTTTATCTTTTCGTTGATTTTATCTGTTTATATCATTTTTCATCTTTAAATTCGTTAAATACTCTTTTAGATTTGTATGTCTTTTGTATGCAAAACGTTTGCTCATTGCTAATAAATTTAATACTCTATTTGAGAGATTAAATATCTTATTTTGTTATTCTATTTGAGAACAACTTAATTTGAGAGATTATTTTATTTTTGGTATTCTATTTGAGAATAATTTAGATTAACAGTCTCTATTTGAGAGATTGCTATATGTTGTTATTCTATTTGAGAATAACTTGACAATGTATTATCAGTCTCTATTTGACAGATGATTATTATTGTTGAAAAAAAAACAAAAAAAACCCAGTTTTTTCCTCCTATGTTATAGCGTTAAAATAGATCCTGCAATGTGTGATAGATAAATATGTGTATTTTATCAGTCAAATATTTCTATCTAATTGCTTCCACCTGATTACAATATCTCGTATGCTCATTGGTTAATTCTATATACGTCATAGATACATGCACGTGTATTTTTTACCTCACCTAACCTAAATCCTGAATTGTTTACTATATCTTAAAATAGTTCAGGAGTGCCGTAACAGATACACATACTAATGTATTATATTCTTCTGGATCGATATTACTATTGAAAATAAATGGAAAATCCTTTACATACATTGTACATACATTTTTTCTGTTTTGGGGTATTTTTATGCCCCCGCCGTAGCGGAGGGGGCATTAAGTTTTACCCTTGTCCGTCTGTACGTACGTACGTACGTCCGTACGTCCCAAAATTGGTTTTTGTTCTCTAACATGAGTTTGCCTCAACCAAATGTTATGACACTTATACACGATGCTAACTACCTTAAAACACAGATTAAGTTTGAATTTTGGTGGCGTCACTTCAACCGTTCTAGTCTAGAGTTATGCCCCTTTATAAATTGAAAAATTGCAAAAAATTTTGTTTCCGTTCTCTTTCTTAAGTTTGCTTCAACCAAGTGTTATGAAACTTATACACAATGCTTATTACCACAAAACACAGATCAAGTGTGAATTTTAGTGTCGTCACTTTAACCGTTCTTGAGTTATGCCACTTTATAAATGGAAAAATTGTAAAATTTTTAGTTTCCGTTCTCTTACTTAAGTTGCCTCAACCAAATGTTATGAAACTTATACACAATGCTTATTACCACAAAACACAGATCAAGTTTGAATTTTGGTGTCGTCATTTTAACCGTTCTAGAGTTATGCCCCTTTATAAATTGAAAAATTGCAAAATTTTTAGTTTCCGTTCTCTAACTTGAATTTGCCTCAACCAAATGTTATGAAACTTATACACAATGCTTATTATCACAAAATACAGATCAAGTTCGAATTTTGGTAGCTTCACTCGAACCGTTCTAGAGTTATGCCCCTTCATAAATGGAAAAATTTTAAAATTTTTAGTTTCCGTTCTCTAACTTAAGTTTGCCTCAACCAAAGTTTATGAAACATATACACAATGCTTATTACCACAAAATAAAGATCAAGTTTGAATATTGGTGGGGGTCACTTTTACTGTTCTAGAGTTATGCCACTTTATAAATGGAAAAATTGCAAAATTTTTATTTTCTACTAAATATCAATTTATTTTTAAAATTGGATTTATCTTCCTTTGTCCATGATTATAATTGAATCAACTACAATTAATGCTTTATACAATGCAATGTTTAATTTTGACTTCCACTGATAAAACACAGATCAAGTTGAATTTGGGTAGTGTCACTTTAACCATTATTGAGTTATGACCCTTTATAAATCGAAAGATTGCAAAATTTGTAGTTTCCATTCTGTTACTAAAGTTTGTTCCAACCAAACATTATGAAACCTATACACAATATTCATTACCACAAAACTAAGATCAAGTACAAATTTTTTGTTTCGGTTTTCGAACTTTAGTTTGCCTCAACCAAATGTTATGAAACTTATACACAATGCTTATTACTACATAATACAGATTAAGTACAAAATTTGGTGAGAACACTTTTACCATTCTTGAGTTATGTCCCTTTATAAACATAAAAATTGCTGAATTTTTAGTTTCCGTTCTCTAACTTTAGTTTGTCTCAACCAAATGTTATAAAACTTATACACAACCGTTCTAAAGTTATGCGTGTTTACAAATAGAAAAATTGCTGAATTTTTAGTTTCTACTTAAGTTAGCCTCAACCAAATGTTATGAGACTTACACACAATGCTTATTACCACAAAACTCAGATCAAGTTCAAATTTGGGTAGCGTCACTTTTATATCTTCTTTTTTTTTTTGGGGGGGGGGGGGGGGGGGGGAGAGTCTTTGAACAGTGCTAACAAGTGGGAAATCTAGTGACAAAATATTACCTCCCCTGAAAATATTGAAAACTAAATCTTCTCAATGTTTGTCCCATTATAGCAAAGACGCTATCAATTATGGATTCACGAGAAAATGTTCTGGTAAATAGTAAAAATAGAAATAAGTTGAAATAAAAACAAAACTTACATTCAACGTTATCATTTCCCTCCTTAAGTAGCAAACAACGAGTACAGCAGGCTATAGGAGCTTGATGTAAACTTGGTTTAAAATGTTGCTATGCGAATATATTCCTGGAGTACCAACTTCAATATATTTTTCTACTGGCTATAAACCTTTCTGTAACATGCTAATTATCCGAATATATATACAGCTAGAGCAGAGAAAGTTTGGGAAAAAATTCCAAAGGAATCGATTGATATACAGCAAAGATTGGCACTTTTGAAATTAAGTTACTAAGAAAATTCAAACGGACCTTATCGCGATGTAAACATTTAATGTGAATAGACGGAAAAGACCGCAAATACATGTACAAAAATCGAGACGACCTTTTCTTAAAATTGTACAAAAAATAGTAGAAAGATGCCTACTTTATAAAAACATTTATCTTTGATTTCTTAACCAGCGCAGACAGACTTTTAAATTTTTAAATTCACAAAAAGAATATTTCTCTACTGAATGTACATGTGACAAGAGCAGACCGGTGTGCTCGATAACTAAGGTGTGAAAAAATAAGTATACTTTGGGAACTTGTAAC